ATACACGTACCGTTGAGGGTAGGTAAGAAAGAAGTCTCGGTCGATCGTGTCATCCTCCTCGTCCGACTGCAACGCCCGGTACAATGCCAGCATGTAGCCGGGCAAGTTTTCGAACGGGAATTTCTTCGGGTGCGGCGGTTTTTCCAGACCGAGAAGATGCAAAATCTCGTACTGAAATTGCAGTCGTTCTTTGCGTCTTAAAGCACAAGCATAATCTCAACCAAGGATCAGGGGAGGTCAAAAAATTTAAAACAGAAGAATAATGACAGAAACAGGCCTTACTCAAGCCATGTATACTCACCGATGCAGAGGGAAAGCGACCGTGTTCTGGCGCGCTCCATCGTCAGCATAGAACACCGTCGACTTCTCGTACCATCCGGCGTTGGAGGCCAGTGTCAATCCAAAAAAACAGCACACTAACGGGTGCAAACTCATCGAGCCTAAAAGTACATTTACAGTCAGATCACACAAGTGACACTGATCGCGAGTGACAATGACATTACTGGGATCACCGCAACATATGTAGATGTGCAATGACTCGACGGAATGTTAACGTTGTGATTTTCAAGTGCCCGCTATGACGTGTACACACACAGACGAACACACCCCCGTGATCTGTGTAAACAAGATATATCCAAAACCTTATCTACAGAACAATACAGTGACTGACAATGGGCGACCCTGACAAAACCGGAGACAAGGCAACCGTTCATCATTCAGCCAATGGACAGATCATGGTTAGAAGACCAACGACCCTCGAATGACTATGGAATGTTTGCTTGACTGTCTTAAGAGACCCAGACACCACTTGTAGCGATACGTCGTTGACAAACCGTTGCGAGCAGCAATGACACAAACTCTTCAACGTGATCACCTCAGTTACTGCTACCTCAAACACAAAACTCGTTCTGCCGCGGACGGTCACAGATGAATTGCAAACAAACGCGAACGGAAAATATTGTTTCTTTTCTCGTCGTTGGTAGGATCCTTAGATTGCGGTTTCAAGGAAATGCACGAATACTCACTACCCTGCACCTTGTTTGAATGTCCAGCCTGTCGCGGCGCACAACGAGCGAACGATGATCGTTAGGTAACAACGTCTACTTATACGACCTCTAATGAACCATTACCAAACTGTAACTACTGCTAATTTATAGTGAAACATTTGAATATCTATATAAAAGATTTCGTTTTTTTCTAAAGATTAAGTTTAATCATTATTCGCCCGGTATCATAGTTTATTGCTTAGCCCAACGGGCGGTGCCAAAGAGCTTCTGTTAAGCGCTTCCTTTGTTGCTCAACGGAACGGACTGCTCGTACCGTGATACCAATTGTGCTAAAACGACTGAAGTATAGATCGGCCAAAATGTTCGATGACGTCGACACAGTTCTATGCTAGACATACACAAACGGCACCATGACATAAAGTAGCATGCTACACATGTCAGGAAAATGAGTTTTTTATTATTGACATGTCAAGGATTTAAAACTCCGTCTTGCTTGGCTACTCTTCAAAATCTAACAGAGATTTGAAACTGTTTAATGGAAAAAAATACAGGGTTTTCGCATCTTGAATAAGATCGCAAATCAGTTACAACAAGATATGCATACCCCCTTTTTTAACTGCTCAGCTGTACCATTCTGTGCCTCGAAAGGTAGAAGTTTATGACTATTGCTTATCCGAGTAAGTCATACGCACACGATAAGAGTGTCAAAAGAATAATAAACTAAGATGTCTTGTGTATTGACTAATAAGCAATCCAAAGGCGTAGTTTGCTGTGAGAATCGTCAATCAGTATACAGGTGAAAATATGTCGTTTCTTTTGTGAACATTTTATTGGGTCTGAATA